AATTCCATTTTGGGCGAGTGATTGATGGGCGCCTGAAAAGTTTCTGTGTCGCCCCCCTGGATTGACCTGTATTTTGTTCATGCCCTTGGGAATTTCTGCTTCCCCTGTTCATGGTTTTTCGGTTCACAAAGGATGTTGACTTCCTTTGAAGATCCGAGCAAGGAATTGAGTGGTTGGAGGTGAGTGATGTAGTGATGTTTCCTGTTGAAGTAACTAGTTCCCTCAGCCTTGACACTGGGTGGGAAGTGTGGGATTGGGTATTTAAGTTGAACTGATGTCTGTGTTCATGGGGAGCATCAGTGTGATGGGAGTGGCCAGTGAATTGCTGACATGGCCTGGTGGTTTGCTTGACTTAGCTGCGATGCCTTGTCCAATACATGAGTTTGATTAAGTCACTGCTGGTTTCTAGTTGTCTCATATGGTTGTATGTTTCAGATGGTTGGGAGACTCGGTGGGTGAAATCCGATTGGAAAAGGAGCGAAGGGAAAGCCGGTACATTCAAGCACACGGCAGGAAAATATTCCGGAGATCCTGATGACAAAGGTTTGCTTTCCCATCCCTCATACTTCTTGTTTAATTGAGGATGATGATGTTTTGGTCGCAAGTCAAACAAACTCTTGCTTAGGACAGCTTAATTCTGGATGCTGTCTGATCCTTTTGTTTTATTCACGTGTTCTAGGCATTCAAACAACAATAGATGCTAGGCATTTTGCTATCTCAGCCAAGATACCGGAGTTCAGTAACAAGGGCCGAACATTGGTGGTCCAGTATTCCATAAAGTTTGAGCAGGAAATTGAATGTGGTGGCGGCTATATTAAGCTAATGTCTGGTTATGTCAACCAGAAGAAATATAGCGGAGACACTCCATACAGGTATGTTATTGCCTACTTCTTGCCCGTTGAATTTCCTGTTCTTACAATGATCCACCATTGCTGTTAGTAAGCTCCTAAGCAGACCCTGTCACTGTTTTGAGCATGTGATTTGAATGTAGTATAGTTGATGAGCAAAGGTCTGTCTCATGTAATTTGTTATATTATAGTATAAGTCCACCTAAGATGCTATGTCTTGCGAATGTCCATCCATGGTTAAGGCGAAATGAATAAATATAAACTGCTTATTTGTTCAGTTTTACTAGTCTACTGCCGAGTTATGCTGATAGCTTTCTCGTGTTCTCTTACGCAGCTTGATGTTTGGGCCAGACATATGTGGGACTCAAACAAAGAAGCTGCATCTTATACTCTCTTACCAGGGGCAGAACTACCCTATCAAGAAAGATCTACAATGCGAAACCGACAGGCTGACGCATGTTTACACATTCATTCTTAGGCCCGACGCATCTTATAGTTTACTTGTTGATAACCGTGAAAGAGAATCTGGGAGCATGTACACTGATTGGGACATCTTGCCTCCTCGTAAAATTAAGGATGTTGGTGCCAAAAAGGTAGCTCACTTTTTACAACTAGAAACGTTACAATGAGAGAATCATCTAACATACATGCATTTTTGCAGCCTAAGGATTGGGATGACAGAGAGTACATTGAGGATCCAGATGCGGTTAAACCTGAGGTTTGTATGCCCATACATTATTATGTGAATTTGATTATTTTACAGTGTATCAAATTGTTTTGTAACGGCTCATCTACCTTGGCCAGGGATATGATTCTATTCCAAGAGAGATTCCTGACCCAAAGGATAAAAAGGTATGAAACTTCCTATCTTAATGAAACTCAAGACATCAAACATTAAGTCACTGCACTTCATATTCCATATTATAAATTGTTTTGACTTATTTGGTAATGCATCATTCAGTTCTAATTTATTAGCATGAACTTGACCCATTTAACCACTTATTTGGCTCTGCATATTTGGTCTTGCTGCAAATGTTTTGCATTTGAAGCATTCTATAGTTACCATCACATAAACTGTGGATGTCCTAGCACATCTAAAGAAACATTCTTACAATGAAGCTCGGTACAACTAAGAACACCAAATGATGACAAATATATGCATGTTGTGTTAATCAGCCCGACACATGGGACGATGATGATGATGGCATATGGAAACCTAGAAGGATACCGAATCCAGCATACAAAGGACAGTGGAAGCGCAAGGTTTGTCTTGTTGCTTGTCCATCAGTTGTTCATAGCTACTTTATTTCTTTGCTAGACTTCATGTTCTCACATCTTCTGCCTACAGAAAATTAAGAACCCTAACTACAAGGGTAAATGGAAGATCCCATGGATTGATAATCCAGGTAAGCAAATAGGAAAACTGGTATTGGACTCGACACTTGATTTTGAAGTGGACCTCTTGTCAAACTTTCAAACAGGCTTTTACCATGAACTGTTGCACTTTTGCAGAGTTTGAGGATGATCCAGATTTATATGTACTGAAACCTCTGAAGTATATTGGAATTGAAGTTTGGCAGGTACCATAAGTTACATATAGTAGTCTTCTGGAGATACATGTTTCATCATAATTATAGATTGTTCTGAATGAAGTACATTTGATGTTGACTTGGAGCTTACTCGTGTGCAGGTAAAAGCCGGCTCAGTATTTGACAACATTCTCATTTGCGATGACCCGGAATATGCAAAACAGGTTGCCGATGAAACATGGGGTGCAAATAAGGAGGTAACCGCACATGTTTACTGAATTAACCCATGCTGCTGATATCCCATAAGCAGTATCTTACCTTTCTGTATATTATAGGCTGAAAAGGAGGCTTTTGAAGAAGCTGAAAAGGAGAGGAAAGCTAGAGAAGATAAGGTTAAAATCTTCAATTAGGAATTGTTATGGGCCATTTTTTTTATGTCCTTGAGGCAGAACCGCAAAAGAATTACTGTCGTTGTGAAAGAAGCTAAACATAACTGCTTGTGTACAGGAAGCTCAACAAGCAAGGGAGGAAGGAGAGCGACGGAGGAGAGAGAGGGGTGATCGACACCGTGGTAGGGACCATTACAAGGACAGATACAAAAGAGTAAGCTGACATACCGTTCGCTTTCTTCCTGAAGCCACCCTAGAACTCTTTGAAGTATCAACTTCTGACTACCACCCTAGAACTTTTTGAAGTCTTATTTGCTGATTCCCTTAACACACCTATTGACTGAGGAATCTATCGACATATTACAAAACCCAAGTCCTTGAGACATTGCTATATGGTAAACAAGTACTCCCTCTGTCTCAAAATACAGGGGAAAAAAGATATTTTGAGACAGAGGGAGTATAATTGAACATGTTCTAATTCTGGTAATCTTGGGAAGCTGTGGTGTGTTGCCTTGTGCTGTAGTGTCATATACAAATGTATCATACAGTGAAACTGTGACTGTGTAAGACATCATATACAAATGAATGCATAATTTACTGACATCCTTTTTGTCTTGTGTTTCAGCGCAACAGAGATCACTGGGATGACTACCATGTAAGTTGTGAAGCATCTCATTCTTTCATTTAATAATTCTAACTCGTGATTTAGATAACATGTGGCTTATAACATTCTTGGTTTCTTGTTCAGGATGAGCTTTGAAGCCCCCCAAAATCTTCAATTCTTCCAAGGAGAAACTGGGTTTTGACACAGACATTGTGTTATAGTTGCTTCAAATAAATGATAATTGAAGTGTTTCTTGTCTCGTGTGAGGGAAACTGATTGAATTGACCACGAAGATCATTCCTATGTAACAGCAGGACAGACAATTCCACTTATCCTGGAAAGTAAAAAATCTTGGCCTTGGCCCTGAAATGCGATGTTGTGTGTGTAGTGTACATGGTCGGTGATGTACTTCCTTTTTGTAAACTCAGAACATTACCTTTGCTGATATAATAAAGAGGTTCCATATTTATTGCATAACACAAACAGCTGCTGTTGCTGACGAGTTCTCACTCGATTTGCATGAAATTTTTTATGTTGCTCCTGTAATCAGCATACACAAACGCCTGCTAGAATTTAGCTTCCCAGGTAGTGAAAAGAAAGCATGCATCCAGGAGAAGCATATATTAGCGTTTCTTTCATGCACTATAAGTTCATACATATCTACACTTGGAACTTCCTTGATTAATTGATTGGTATACCAGAATAGCATCAGAACCGTCTAAACACATTGATGCAAAAGGGGCAAGGCGACTCAGCAGTGTATGGCAGAACAAGTCTGCTGTATACCTGTACTGGCAACAATTCACTATGCGTACTTCAAGACAAATAGAAGGAGCATATCAGTTCTTCATCCAAGCTATATCATCCACATATGAAAAGCAACATCTTAATTTATGGCTTGAGTCTACAGATTAGAATAGAAACAATCTGATATGCACAGCACAAATTCAGTTGTTCTTTTCTACATGCTTCTCATTCCTTTACATGATATCCTCCATAAAAAGATCCCCTTCTGTTCGAAATGAACATGCATCTACAAGTCGAGGTAAGAGAACTCCCTTCACATCTGAGATGACCAAAGAAGCACATACCACCAGGTTTCCAAAACTGAAAGTATAGCATTGTGTCAACATGGTATGGTTTTAATTCTGAAACAAAACATATCCGCACTTCAAAACACAAAAATGGCAATGGCTGGCAGAACAATACTGTCCTACACTTGTACTGGCCTCGATTCACTATCCGAACTTCGAAACAAATAGAATGAACATACCAGTTCTTCATCCAAGCTATGTCATCCATATGAAAAGTAATATCTTGGTTTATAACTTGAATCTACACATTAGGATGGAAACAATCTGATATGTACAGCACAAACATTCAGTTGTCCTTTTCCTACATGATTCCCATTCTTTTACATGCTACTTCACAAAAAGGATTCCTTTCTGTTCGAAATGAACATGCATCTGGAAGTTGAGATAAAAGAACTTTCACATCTGATGAAAGAAACCCATAACACTAGATTCTCAAAACTGAAAGTATTGGGTTGTGTCAACATGATACAATTTTACAAGCTGAAACAAGACCTATCAAACATTTCGGTGAGCAGCTCTTCCACACTGAAGGAAGGTCATACAAAATCTGCAACTCCTCTTCCGGGCAACATATCCATTTGCAGAGCCCTGCCATTTCTGGAGGCGACCAAACCAACAGATGGCAACGAGGGATCCGTAACTGGCTCAATCTCGATAAACCTCATCTCCAAAGACCCTGTGCGCTTCAAGCTCAAGACGAAGACAAGCACAATCCACCCAAGCAATGTGACGGCCCAGTAGTTATTCATCCCATGAATCAAACCCCAGGCGATCGAGTACCCAACGATGATCCCGGACAGGTGGCCGATGAAGCTCGCCTGGGGAACCATGATTGACGTGAATATGAGCGATTCAAAGGGCGCGAAGCTGATGGGCAGCGAGAGGACCCCAAAGAGGTTGAGCTTGGACGACGGCTGCTTCGCGGCCAGAATTGTCATCCACCCGAAGACGACGCACGAGTAGCCGACGGCGGTCACCCTCCGGAAGTAGTCCACCTTGAACCTCCGGATCATCACGTGGTAGATCCCGAGAACCAGCAGCCCGGACAGCACCACGAGGACAAGGGTGTAGTGCAGGTAGTACTGCACGCCGAGCCCGGCGGCCTGCCCCAGCTGCTCGACGGCGCCGAGGCTCCACAGCGCGCTCATGTTGAACACCAGGTGCACCACGCTGACGTGCGAGAAGGCGGCGGTGATGAGCCGCCAGTGCTGCCCGCCCTCCACGGCCGCCTCGTAGCTCAGCCCCACGTCCGCGTACCCGATGCCCCTCTTCTGGATGAGGAACCAGATGAGGGAGCAGACGGCTATCACGCCGCTGCTCGCCGGCTTCTCCACTATCTCGTACATCAGAGGCCTCCCCATGTCGCCGGACCTAGCTTCTTCTTCACCCAGATTGCGGCCCTCGATCGGTTGACGAAGATCGACGATGCTCTGTCTGCTGGAATTTGTAGATCGGGGGCAGCGCCTCCCCTCCAAAAGGGGGCGGATTTGGTACTCGCTGATCGAGGAGGGGATCAGTGGCTGGCCTGATGGACGGATCTCTGGCGGAAATCTAGGGTTCCGCGGTCGAATTGAGATGATTGAGGGGTTTGGCGATGGATCGGTGGCTCTGACCTTGGGATTCCGGAGGGGATTCGTTCGAGCCGCTTCTGAAGCGTGGGTGGGAGTCCAATGCCCTAGACTGTTCGAGTTCGACTCGGGGATTTTCCTTTTCTTTTTTGCAACCTTTTTTTTTCAAGAGTACGCAAATGTGTATCATATTTTTATCTTTAGAAGACAGAATTTCAAGTGCAAGAAGACTATAACTTATTATGAACCTCCGACCGAAAGACAAGACCACCTTGAGTAACACAACTACAAAGCAAAAGCAAAAAAAGAGCTTGTCCAAAACCGAGCACCATTGTCGCGTCTCGATCAATGCCGGCCACCTCCAAAGAGCACACCAATTCAGATAGACTTTCCTTGTCGACGCATCATCCACCCTTGATGCCGAAAAGGAGGTGGGAAGTAGATGGCGGGACTTGGCCAGTCCACTAAAGCAACCGTCTTGGACTCGTCGATGATGACGTATATAGCGCCACTGAAGATCACCTTGGACAACGGCGAGCACTGAAAGTAGAGCAACATGGGGCCTCAAGACTCAAAGTAGCGATGTTAAGAACAATGCCATCATGCCGGTTCAACTCCGAACCTAGGCTTTCGCTCGAAGACCACAACCAGGCTTTCGCTCGAAGACCACAACCAATCCTAGGAGCGAGTGAGGGAGATGCCAACATACCTCGGTGACGCCTCCCCGACTATTCAGAACGAACAAAGTTGTTTCACAACTGATATAGGACTATAATGCAAAATTAGCAGCATCTCCCGGATCAAACCTAGATGGGTCGGCCTGGCTGGGTGTGGGTTATACGGGTCTGGCACGACACGACCCAACTAGGCACGCGAACTACACAAGCCATGCGGGCAGGCATGCATGCTGCCTTACCTGGTCCAGGCACGACACTAATATTAAACGGGGCGGCTCATCGGCACATCTAGCCGTCAGCCCACATATTATTTGGCCTATTGGGCTTCCTATTAGCCTATAAAAAATTAAAAAACTGACGGGTCGTGTCGGGCCGGCACGCGTGCCCAGGCACGGCCGTAGGTGGGCCACGTGCCAGGCACGACCCGATTAACCACGTGTTGGGCCAGCCCAGGCCAGGCACGTGTGCTAACGGGTCGGCCTGCCAGGCACGACTCAGTTGGCTAGGTTTGTCTCGAACCTAGCCATCTGGGCGAGCCCGTCCAGGCCCACTCTTAAGCATGCTGGAATTACACAACCATCGACGAAACAAACCATGCTAACAAGTTCAGCACAACATGTGCACGAGAGCTATATCTCGCCTTAAGCAGCATATGAAAGATGCTCTCACTGAAGGGAATACCACCTAGCACAAGAAACTGGACCGGCCCATTAGCTCACCTATATAAAACAAAGGGGAAAAGGAAAAAAAGGCTTAAGGGGTTCTGAAAAAAGGGCTAAGGAACAAGGATTCCTGGATGAAAGGGAACGATGCATGCCACTGAGTTACAATCAGATTCGTGGTAAATACTAGAGCGCGACCTACTTGAGGGTAAATGAGTCGTTTTTTCATTGGTTTTTTTAGGTATTTTGTTTTAGTTTTCTTTCTTTCTTTTTCATTGATTTTTCTTAGTCATCTTCTCTGTTTTCATTGTTTTTTCCTTTCTTTCTTTTTCTTTGGCTTTATTAATTTTTCCTGTTTTTTCCTTTTGATTCGTTTTTGTTCTAATTTGTATATTTCTTTCATGTTTTTCATTGGTTCTTTGTTTTCTCTCGGGTTGCACTAGTTTTGTATATACATTTTGGTATATATTTAATATATGTTCACTCGTGGGGTGGGTGACCAATTAAATAGGGATTTCTCTGAAAAACAAACCAAGATAAGATAGATTATCACACCATGTAGAGCAAACCATTTCTGCTCCAGGTGGCCCTTGAGCATAACAAACTTCCATTTGGCTTGGCTTCCGGGTTTTTCATTTATTTTCTTTATATATGCTCTTAACTCCTGTAACAATAACATCCAAAAGAACGAGTCAGGTTTCTCTAACAACACAAGGCAAGACAAAGATCGGAGAGAGAATTCCTTATTTGGCTCATTCTTAAAATTAATTTCCTTTTTTGGCCCAAATTTTTGCATTTTTCCTTTTCTGACACTCAAACTTTATTTTGTTCCTTATGTGACACTTCCGTCAAATTTGACCTGTAACGGTATTAAGTTTAACCCAAAAAAACTATTTTACCCCTACTGTTGTATGTGACCAAATTATTTACATGCACACATGCATCTAATCACCTCGATGTGTTGGAGCTGAGCATGTACCTGCAATCTAGCCTCAACAAAGCAGCCAAGTTGGCAGCTTAATTGATGTACAGTACCTAGCTAACAATACATGCACTATAGCCGTGCACGTATGTACTCGCCGGCCGGCGAGTTGCACCAGATAGCCTGTTGCAATCCATCTATTTGTTTCGCGTTCGTTCCAATGAAAGAAGTCGCTACGTTTCGAGAGACGATCAGATCGATCGATCAGAAGCTAGTCGCGTACTTGCGTCTACGCAAGAGTTAGGCCAGAATCAATTAAGCTGCCAGCCTGCTAGCTTGCACGTACCTTGCTGCTACTTGAAAATCAATCAAGCTATTTGCGTGTGCTAG